TGGCGGGAAGACGCATGGGCCAACAGAGTAGCTACACCACGCTGGGATTGCAAACCAAGCATTGACATACCTGGAAATCAGCTTCCCTTTGGTTAAGGTCCAAAAAAACATTAAACAAAACATATTTCCAGCAATGATGAATTCCTTTTCAAACCAACAGGGGAAAATAAATAAACATATTCATTTCAGCAATTTTGAGGTCAGCTCTGGTCAGTCCTCATCCCGGGTCATGGCCATATCCAGCGAGACATCTTGCAGCACCGCGGAGGTCACCCGCAGCGCCCCTTCTTCGCGCTGGATGACGGCCCCCGGCGTGGAGCTGGTCACTTCCGCGTGGGCCAGGGGGCTGCCGACCAAGCGCAGCGCGACGGCCTCACGCTGAGCCGCGACCAAGCAACGCACGGCTTCGAAAGGACAGTCCAGCCGGATTGAAGATGAACACGTTTGTTGATGCTTCGAAAACACTTGCAAAAGGTGCTGGGGATGCTCTGTGCAATACTGCCGTGAACTCAGTCGAAACTAAGCCAAAGCAACACATCTCCAACCGCCCTGAGGGACTTTTCAGAGCTGAAGGCTTCACCCGGGATGTCCCCTCCACCAGCTTCAGCTTCGCTGCCTGGGCGGCTGCCTTGCCGTTCTTGGCGGCGGCGGGCAAGGTCAGCGCCAGCTCGAAGGCGTGGCGCCCGGACTTCTGCTTGGCCTGAAGTCCGGAGGATGGAACATGGATGCCTCTGGGCTGGGGAGGGTTGGGGGGTTGGGGGTTGGGGTTGGGGGGGGGGTGGTTTGGGGGGGGGGGAGGGGTTGGGTTGGCTGGTCCTCTTTAGAGAAACCATTCAAAACTGGGCCGTCTTGGTGAGATATGGTGAGATGCCTTCAGATTCCAAGCCAGCCAGCCTCTGGTCTCCTATCCTGCTTGGCAATCATTCAATGCGCGTGCGAACCGGGTCCATGAGTGAAATCCTTTAGGTTGCTTGGGGAAACTTGAGCTGTCCTCACATCCCCTGCCAATAATTTGAATTTAGCGGGAAAAACATCGACCAACAACTAAACCAACTAAACACCTCCAAAAACCCAAGAGCAACCGGACGGCTGGGACTTTGTTTTGGATTTGCCTAGAAAAGGGCCACACTTGTGGGGAAAAAAAGCCCACGAGACCCGCCAAAACCTGAGCGAGAACGAGCCCGGCCTGCAAGACCAGCAGGAACTTCAGCTGCAGCAGCAGCTCCTCTCCCTCTGCCAGGCGCTTCAGCTGCACTTTGTGGCTGACCTGCGCTAGCCTTGGGGCGATGTCGTGCCTCCAGGTGCAACTCACAAGTGCCCAGAGGAAGTCGGCAGCTCGTGAAAACAAAGAAGATGCCAAAACGGATTGGTGACCCTTGTCAGCCCAAGTTTACTTGGTGTTCTCTTTTGTCATATTTCGGTTTTCGTGCACCTGGCGGACAACACTCGCGGGATCCTCGCGACTGGCTATGGTTCCCTCTCGGGCTCCTGCCAAAAGCATTGGAGGCAAGGTGGCTCACCCTGCAGGGGTTTGTTGCTTCACCTCGCTTTTGCATGAAGGGAAGAAATCAATCAAGAACTTCGGCTTTGGCCCACAAACGCCCATAGGCTATGCGTGCTCAGCGCCATTAAGGGAGGTCCCATATTCTGTTGGTGTGATTCAAATATCACATGCTGGCTGCAACCTGTTGCAAGTTTTGTTTGATTGTTTAGTAGAAAAAATATGGGTTTCCCATCACGGTCCATTTAGAGTTGAACGAGGGGGGTGGGTCATTCCCATACTTCCTACCCGCACCAATCCACACTTGGGGTCTATTTTGCAACCTTCTTCATTTAGGGCATCGTTTCTTTTTCTTCTTCTTTTTTGCCCGGGGATTTCGGGATTCTTTTGTTCCGACATCGACTCTGGGTGTCCATGGCACCCCCCCCTCCCAAAACCCCCAGCCCCCCAGCCCCAAAGGGGTGAAGCCAAGAGGCTCATAGAAGCTGGAGGCCTCCGTGGGGCAGGGCGCCGCCTGACCCGACCGCACCTCACCGTGCAGGTCCTCCAAAAACGGGCGCTGGGCCAGTCAGGGCCCAGGAGGAGTCCCTGGAAAAATGGGGACTTGTCTGGACACAACAAGGCGTCTTGCTTGGGGAACGCCATATCTTCTGGGCCTTTACCATCTTCGGAAGGCCCAACGACCTCATGGCGCCTCCGTTGGGTGTTCAATGAACCTGACACGCACAACCGGCTCCACGGGTTCCGCGGCGTATTGGAAAGCAACCCTCCGCCTGGGCGTGTAAACACTACGTGCGCATGCACCGACACAGCAGATCTCGAATCCATGGAGCGTTTGCCGCTGGGCTGCGCCCGACAGGCACGACACGCCATGTAAAAACCCGCCCGTCCTGGACCTCAAAGCCCTGCAGTGTGGCAGCTTTGGGGAGGGGCAAAGTGAGAATGGGCGACTCCAGCGGGTGCTTCAGCTCATTCTTGTAGCTGAAGTTCGCCTGCGACGCCAGGCGCGCTAGGGTTTGCCCAAAGAAGGACCCAGGCAAAGAAGCCCCAGCCAATGCTGTCACTGGCTCCAAGCGACAGCTTGATGTTTGGAACACGATCCGAAGCTTGAACGCGTCCTTTGAAGGGGACTTTAAGGTTCATAGAGTCCATAGCCAGCTACTGCCAGCCTGGAATCAGGAACAAACACCTGGGTGTCCTTTTATCTTTGTCATTGCGCCATGAACTGCATGTGTTTTGTCTGAGTGGCTGAAACCCCCTAGGTCGGTTCCCTGGCTTTCCACAGCATCCAATGTTCCTCACGACAGAAAGTCTCCTCACATGAAGCGACTCCTCGAGATTCCCGGATTGCAACCATTCCGTGATGCCCCGCCTGCACGCTGGCAGCCACCCCTTCCCACTCCACATGACAGCTGACAGAGCGCAGCGTGGCTTGGCAAACGCTGGCGCGGTTGAGCCTAGCCGTTCAAAGTGGAGACGCACTGCCGTCGCTCTTGGTGGAGGACTAACTCTGACCTGAGGGGTGCTTCCAGCAGCCATGAGGCTGCTAGCTTGAATACCCCTCCGACAAAGGATGCTGCCCACTGAACAACATAGCAGATCATGGCAGGGCTGCCATCAAACTGGTCTTGCATGCAACAGCGCTGCGGGGACTGTTGCAGCAGCACTTTTGCAGGAGCTGGCTTGAGGTACTTTGGCTGCATGCCCCTAACCGAACAGGTCTTACTCATGCAAATACACAGGCAACGTTGGCATCCCCGGTGCACAATTGGTTTAGCCGAGAGCCAACTCTGAATCACCTTCAAACGGAGCCCAGAAACCAAAGGCTGCATCCCTGCGTCCATTCCTAAGAAACAAATGGCGACTTTCATCACTTCGTCCAGCCCTCCTGAGAGACGAATGGCGACTCTTGTCTGGCCAAAGCTTGCGACAGTTGGCCATGGGTCAATATCCCCTCCCCCCAGTGAACATCCCAATCACCACTAAAATAGGTTCTAAACAAATGGGTGCGCCTACCCCAAAGTGGTACCATTGGTTTTGACAACCACCGCCAGTTGAGGCGGAGGCACCCCCCCTCGCCGGCCTCCAGGCGACATGGCCCTCACCTTCACAGTCGCCAGTGACCGTGCCAGAGGCCACGCAGCTGAGGGCGGCGATGGCCAGGAGCATCGCAAGCCATGAAGCTCCGCTTTGGTTCTGCGCTGGGGTCAACTTCAACAAGCCGCTTTTACTGGGAAACATGTGTAAAGATATGTATCTATATATATATACATAGACACACTCATATACAAATGTATATATATATAGACATAGCTACATATAGAACTTGCCATGTTCAGCACGCACGTGCTGAAAACAGCTGCTAAAATTTCACCTTGCCGCGATGGCAATCATGCGGACTTCTCGAGAGTCTCAAGTCCTGCTCTGGTGGCTTGCCAAGTGCTGACCCTCCATTTGCTCAAGTCCCCTTAAAAAAAACAAACATACCAGTAGTGATCATTTCCTTTAAAAGCCAACAGGGGAAATCACACTTCTTATTCAAAGAAACATGACCCCTGCCTCACTTGGACAGGCGTCCCTACCAATAACACGGCCCCGAAATTGGACATTGACGCGTCTGCGTGTGACAGTGGAAGTATCCTCAGGGTTGCTATTCCAAGATTGCATGTCTGGTGGTCCCCTTGAACCGCAGGATCCACGTCAATGAAGCACGCGACTTCGCGGATGGCATGCAAGCCAAGCACTTGCCATGTTCACTTCCAATCCGGTTCACGTTGCGTCACTCATCCCACGGTTGGACGACTTAGCGGCTCTGCCAAACAAGCTTGGCAAGCTGCATAAGGCCTAACGTATAACATCCCCGGCCATATGACCCACAAGGCCCTTCAAACGAACAAAACACAAAACAAACAAAACAATTAAAACAAACAAACACAAAAACAAACAATCAAAGAAACAACAACCGAATACAAGCAGGCAAGCAAACAAGCAAAAAAACAAACAAACAAACAAAAAAGCAAGCAAGCAAACAAGCAAAAAAACAAACAAACAAACAAAAAAGCAAGCAAGCAAGCAAGCAAGCAAGCAAACAAGCAAGCAAACAAGCAAACAAACACACAACCAAGCAGGCAAGCAAGCAAACACGCAAGCAAACACGCAAGCAAACAAACAAGCAAACAAACAAGCAAACAAGCAAGCAAGACAACCAAAACAAACCAACAAGCCACGCAAACACGATGTGTACAAATAACCAGGAATTCAGTTAGCATTCAGTCAAGGTTGGTGATTCTACCTCGACAGGTTGGCATGTAGAATGCTGATTTCAGTAAGGATAACTCACATCAAGGGCACTTGTGCATGTTCCCAACTCGAAGTTGCTACGAATGCGGCAAAACCATGTGGCCAGATTGTAAAGCCAGTGTCCCTACAAGATATCCGAGATATCTATGAGAGGCTCCACCTGGCCCTGGCGAGTCCTTTGCCCCAGATTTCTGCCAGCCTCACGTGCACGGTAAAGGCAACCACCTGCCAGACGTGAGGATCTTACCCTAGGCACCCGAGCGCCCAGCGCCAATTCACGAGTTAAACCTGAGGTGTTCGTTCCACGTCTTTCCCCCGCCGAACACACAAATGGCTGTGGCTCAAAAAACACGGAATTCCAAAAATGGGTTGCCCTGGTAAATGGACACATGGACCAAAACCTGCGCTTTGCCCCTCCTGGTGAATTTTGAGCCACACCCATTTGGCCTGAAGGGTGAAAAGCCAAAAAGCCCGTACCCCAGTGAACATCCCAATCCAACCACTAAAGCACTCGTCTTCTTCACAGTTGCGCCGCAGGCGCTTCCCTTTCATGGCTACAAGGCATCTTTACGGTACTGCGTGTGCAATGGGCAACACATTGCGAAAGAACCGTACTGGCGAACAGGAATCTTTAAAGGTCACATCCAAAACGAGCCTCGAAATGATCGAAATTGCGAATCAAGGTAATCAGGGCTGTGGGAAATGGAACCCACTTCTGTGATACAACAAAAAGGGCTTCCCCGAAGACTAACCCCCATATAAAAAGGGGGAGAAGTGGATACACCCTTTTATTCTACAACCTTGAAGGCAATTGTTCTTGATTGGCCTGACCTGAGGCCATGGGTCAAAACCCAAATCGTACCACCAGTGAACATCCGATTCAATCCCCACTAAATAGGTTCTAAAATGGGTGGCGAAGTCACCTACCAACCAAAATGGGATCCCAAAAAACGTTTTTTGACAACCACGGCACATCCTTCAAGGGAATTTTGGGTGTGGCTAGTGAGCTCGGCCTGATGCCGCAGGACGGCGGCCCCATAGGCGCGCTCGAAGCTGGCGAAGAAGGGGCCACCTGAGATGTGCGTGGCCCGGCCAAGCAGAACACAAGCGAACAAGAACCGGACCTGTAACCTCCGCCAAGCATTCCAGAAGCGCCCGGGAAGTGATGTTGCGACGGAACCAGCTCACCGCCTCGAAGCGAGGCGAAGCTGACTGCTCCCTCAGCCCTGAAGCTGCACCATTCTACAAGGCTGAAGACTTGCTAGGTCCTCCAGTAGAGAGGCTAGAAAAAGGGTAGCCTTTGTTTCTGTAGCCTATTTGAGTAGGGGAACCTACTCCCCCCAAAAAATGATAAAATAGCTAAACCCCCAAGTAAAGAACCTTCACGATGGAGCCAGCAAGCTCTTCTCACCCCTTGAGTGCGCCTCACAGCAGGCGGATCTGAATACCCCAATCAAACCCCGACGTGTTGGGGAAACTAAGAACCTCTACCGGTTGCTAAACGAAAGAGATACGTGCACACTGACTCTCAGGCTCAGGCAGTAGAGCTCGAAGTAGCTCTTCCCGGCCTCAACGTTTGCCACAGCTTGATTTCATTGGGGGCCCTGCGGTGAATGTCACTCATGGAATTTGTGTGCACCAACCACTAGTCGTTTCTTTCTTTCTTTCTTTTTTGTGGGGTTCGGGGGTGACCCAATTGCTGTACTTCATGGCAATCATCTTTTCTGACAAAGAAGGACGCCCACTCTTTCAAAGATCCCATCAAAACGCATGGCAGAACTGTTGTCTGATAACCGCGGGATGCTTTGGCTGATGTTGCCAACACTTCACTGTACAAGCCTTGTAAACTGGTTCTCCGCCTGGAAAGGGAAGCCTGGCAGGCTAGCCACCCCAAAGTTCCGATGCAGTTTTGGGACGGCGAACTGAGAGGGAACACTCATTGGAGGGAGTAATTAGCTGGTACAGGACTGGTCTGTAATAGCTTAACCGGCAACAGCACGGCCAAACACTGAATCTCAAACAATCCTCGCGAGCTGACCCTCTGATATGGAACCGGATGAAAGGTCCTGGAAGGTGTTTCTTGTCTTTCCCGTTTATTTTTCGAAACGACATTGACCTCGAGCATTTGGAAGACTTCGATTCGACCCCACACCAAAAAGCCCCGCTTCCCATGCCACAGCTGCAAACCTGAAACCTCCCCTAGTGCCTGGGGCAGGACTGGGCTATTCGGCGCACATCGTCAGAAAGAGTGTAGAGCCGTGCGCAGCCTCCTGCCAGGCAAATTCTGTGACCGGCTGGCGAATCAATTCAAAGATCAAAAGAACCTTCCACCTTGCACTATTTGGGGCTTCAGCGATATGTTGAACACTGCTTCTTGTCGTTAAACCGCCTCAAGCGCAAGTTTCTCTTGAGGCGGAAGCATGCCTGGCCAAGAAAGCAATGAATGCTCGAACTGTGACATCTGCTAGCATGCCTCTCTACCGGGGCAGGTGCCGCAGGTGGACCCCAACATTTCGAGATTCACATGAGTCACAATCAAAACCCGGTACAACAATGGTCGACCCAGAACTATGTAAAGAACTAAGAAGGCGGCCGCAGCTATTTATGGCTGGGATCGTCCCTTGCTAACCTTCACTTACCCGGGTTTTGCTTGTGGCTCACACGGATCTGTCTCCAATGGTTCACCTGTCCCAAACCAAGCCAAAAACAGCCCTCAAGAACGACGCACTCATGGAGCGCAGGCCGCGCCTCATCCTCAAAGTGCTCTTCAACCTGCAGGGTGTGCTGAGTGCGACCTGCCTGGCACTCTCCAAATCAGAGCCCAAAACCATTGGCGTTTGGTTCTATCAAAATGGTGCGACCCATTGTGGTCCCATTTATCGTGGCAGTGGAACCACCTGCCAAACACGGCTGCTCACATGCCTGACGCTTGGATTGTCTCTTGCCCTCCCTGGCCACAGTTCATCCAGCGAGGCCAGCATGCCATGAACACCCTATGTATGAGGCATGGCTGTGGCAAAGCCTGGCTATCAAAACTGGTCCCCTTCCCAATGAAACGGCCATAGCAAGTTATCATCCGATTGCGTTAGCCTGTATTACGCCCTGCAGTACACCATTAGGACATGACGCAGGCCCAGGGTGCAAAACGAACTCATCAGATCATACATCCCACAAGTAAGTGGCCATCGGGGACTGCGCGCGCCCTCTGCGGCCTTTTGCTCTGGAACAGCCTGCGACTTCTCCTGTGATGACAATGTTGGCTGAGCCACTGCGCACATAAATGTGCATTACACCAGCCGTGCTTGACATACTCCCAGCTTCACGCCTTTCTTAGCTCAATCAACTTGTGGCCCTGCCAATCGCCACCGCAGAACCCCAGGCTTTCTCTAAAGGCGTGCCTAAGGCAAGTGGCTCCACCAAGGAGACGGCCAAAAGTGGGAACTTGGACAACATCAACCCCATGGCTCGGGTGGCATAAGTACCAAGAAACATATTTTTGGACACGCTATCAGAGGAGAAACATATTCCGGAGTTCGTTTTGACTCGTGCTGGATCCAAGGTGAAATCTTGAGAAGCTGCGCTGGCGATACAAAATGAATCAAGCCATCGCCTCTGAAGCCACTTGCGCAAATCGAGCAGCGATGCCAAGCCAAATTCGGCGCGCGCTTGCACCATCAAGCGCCCTTGTGCCCGGATGTGCACCGGTGTTGCATGGGCATAAGAACGTCTGCATTTGCGGAAAGTCTCAAAACGGCCGCTGCCATCGCTGCCTACTCAGCGCCTGCTCCTCTCATCAGTGCTGCGGCCTGGGGAGCGAACCCAAACGGGTCCCAAGATCCACCCCATTTTCATCGACCAAAAAACCGCCCGCCTCATTCGTCTCCGGTAGGCGTCACCAGCTTCTTGATGGAGAAAGGTGCGAACTTCAGCCCTTCGGCCTGCCGAGTCCGCACGGCCAGGTCGCCCAACTTCCGGAAAGGCAGATCGAAATGGATTGTCACGGAAAGAGTCCTCTCTAAATGGAAGCTTTGTCGCAGTAGCATGGCGAAAACGCCGGGATGTGTGCCTTTCCCGCCCACCTCAACTCAGCCTCGCAGAAGACACACATGCTGGGAAAAGGGCGTGATCCACCCTGGCCCATCCCAGTGTCAGCTAGTGCGACAAAGGGAGACAGCCTGCATCGAGGGCCTGATGTTCAGCATCGATCTCAAAGCCCCGAGCCTTGAGCAGCCTCTCATTTTTTGTTTTTTCTCGAGGCTTTTGATTTTTTTTCGGGTCTTCCTCGAGTTGTGTTTGCTTTTTCTTGCTATTTGTTGCTGTTCTCGAGATTATTCTATGTATATGATGGGTCCTCCTCTGTTCTTGGGTCGGTCACAGCTACAAACACCTTCTTCCAACAAATGGCTGCCAGCAGCCGAGGGGTTTAATCGGTGATGGAGCTAGGCCTCCAGGTGAGGTCCGTTCAATCCTATAGAAGTCACCCCGCCTCCCCCTCCCTCCACCTTGATCAAAGTCAACCCCTAAGTGGTGGGTTAAAGGGAAACAACCGATTCAATAACCCCCGGAAACCGTCAAAACAATGACCCCAGCAACAGGCTTCGTCACGATCAGAACTGATCCACGCCTTGTAGAACTTGCTCATGAACTCCACCCAATGCAAACGGAGCGTGTGCAAGAAGCACCTGATCCAGCCGCAAGTATCTGTTCCCATTTCATTTGCTGAATGCACAACATGAAGCGGATCAGGGCAACCTTGCATTTTTCTAGAGCCTGGGGACATCTGAGTGACTTTGTCATGTCCCATTCAAGCCATCCATCCATTCCTTGCCATGAAAGCGTTTTTGCAGCCCCAGGCCAAATGGGACTGCTGAAAAAAGACACATCCTACCCTCTGGTTCAAGCGGAACTCCTCCAAATTAGCTAGCAGTTAAGAACCCCTCTTCCAAATGGGCAGTGAGGGCTTGCGGCAGCACTAGGGTCTTCCAAAAGGTTCCTTGAATCAGCCCCGCTCAGAAACCATGCCAACTCTAGAGCAGGCCAGCCGTTACATATTTCTGGGGAGCCTGATTGGCCGTCACTCATAGGGCTATCCTTTCAGGAGCAGGGTACGATGTGTTAATGGGAGGAAAGGGGCATGGTAGGGGCTACACGCATGGCAGCGCCCTGATGCTCCGCGAATCCTTTCTTATGTGCCGTCAGGAGGCTCCAAAACGTCCATGCCCAGCAAGACTGCGAGAGTGATCCCGAACCACGCGCCGAACATGAGGTAGATGACAATGCCGTTCATGGGGAAAGACATCTCCAAGCCTGAAAAGAAGCTGACCGATGCCCTGGCTTCAATTCCGCAAGTGCTCAAGGTAACCTTGCCGCAAGCTTCCTGCGAGTGGGGAGTGTGACGCGGAAACTGATAGGCGCCAGAAGAAAGATGCTCTTCCAGGGGTGAGGTGGATGGGTGGGGCATGCCCAGCTAAAGGCTAGCATGAGGTGGAGCTTTCTCGGTCCGGCCGTGCGCAAGTGCCTTTCGGGCGAAACTGCTTTTCTTTTCGCAAGGCTTCGCCTGTGCACATCCAATGGGATTGAGCGGCCCCTTGCCTGAAAGTGGGGGCAGGGGCATGTAGTTAGGTCATAGCTGGCTCCCAATGCCATCTAGGGAAGCCTACGTGACCACGACTAGACAACATGCATCGTAACCTAACTGGCCTGGGAGCGACAGTGCGCGCCAAATTCGTGCACCCCAGAAGAACCTCCGGGGCTGTCCCGGGCAAAGCCCAGGATGGAGGCCTTCTTACGGGGTTAATCAGGGAGTTGCGCCCCCGTCCCCATAGCCCCCCTGCAAAGGTCCCCGGAAGATGGCTGGCGAACGGAAACAAAATGGCCGCCGAAGCGGCCCATCGTGATGGTCTTCTGGAAGAAGACCAGGGAGAGCTGTTGATGCGCCAGGGACAGCGCCCAGATACCTGGCCAAGCTCCCCGGAGTTCTCCCCGGCCGTGTCGTCAACCGTTTTTTTTTTGATGTTTCTCCGGGACTCAACCCATGGTGCTTCTCCTGCGTGGTTTTCCTAAGCCACAAAAGAAGGCACCCTCCAACAAAAATCGAGGCGCGCAGATGAGGGCAAACAAAAACAAAAAAACACTTTTTGACAGAAGGGCGCGGTTCCTGACCTTTCAAGGGCAACAAGCGTCGAGTCATTCCAAGGGGCGAAGGTAGGAGGCAGTGTGCGAGACAGTGCCCAAGACGAACTCGATGGTCTCGATGATCTGATGGATGAAGATCTCACCTGCCAAGCAGATATTGTTTGGTGCACCTAGCCCTAAGCCGATTCATGTCGTGCCCCCGAAAGGCCCTATCATCAAGTTAACCCCAAGCAGCAAGACTCTTGCTCTTTTCTTTGTGCCAGAGCATTCATCCCAGCTCGCCGATATAAGGCTACCCCCCCGAAAGGTGCCCTGAAAAGGACTGAACTTATTCAAGGTCACGAACCGTTCGAACCACCACCGGAAACCCGTCCAGGATCTTCCCACAGAACCCGACACCAAATCCCAAGGCAAAAGTATGGCACTCTGGTCTTAGTTGGGGCGTATTTTGACAAAAGTTGAAAGGTCGCTCCCACCAAAGGCCAATGCAGCCAGCGCGGCCGAACTCGAACTCCTCTCCGTGCCTCGGACATTTTCAACAACTCTCCCTTCGCATAGGCAACCCAAAACCCACAGCCTCCAAATGAGGCGGGGGGGGAGTTCCCAAAGGTCAGAATGCTAGTCTTCCCAGGGAAAGTGCAACTGCCAATGGAAATGCAGGGTCACAACCCACCGCCAATTCCATTTTCAAGACAGAAGTTTCACCCAGCACACAATCACTGGTAGACTCTTCTCAACCCCAAATCTAGAAACACACCTGCAACCACTTGGTCCTTTGGGTCTGCCAACTTAGCCCCATGAGAGGCGTAAAAAATGCGGCCGCTCTGCCTTTTGCCGGGCCAGCTGGTTTCTTGCGCTCCCTGCCCCCCAGGGCTGGCTTCTGCAACCCGCCTGTACGAATTGCCCGGTGCGAATCAAATGGGCGCATGCCTCTGGGCGCATGCCGCTGGGACCAAGTGAGGGCTGAAACGGGTTTTCTTTCGCCCAAATTCGCATACCTGACCGGGTTCTCGATCCCAAGAACCCACCAGTGATTCTCGATCCCAAGAACCCACCAGTGAGGTCTGTGAGGTCTGCAAGTTGAACCCACCTTCGTGAGCCCAGAAGCACTGACATGCGCTCAGGTTCAGGAAGCGGCCAAGGTCATAGTCTCGGCCGCTCCTTGTGAAAGCACCAGGTTGAAGTGCTGTGGCAGCTGGAAACTCGAAGGGTTTCCCTGTACGGCCTGCTCGTGTGGCCAGAAGAGGACTTCCAACACACAGCGATACACAGCATGTACTCTGTCATCGATCTTATCTTCGGTTTCTTTGTTGTTCCTTGCGTTCGCGCTGCGAACTGCATCCTGACAGCCCAGACACCGCATCAAGCAAGTCAAATGGAATCACCAGCAATCCCCCAACGGGAACCGCAACATCAACACATTCATATACATGTACCAAATGTATGCAAATTAGATTTTACTTAGTAGCGCTCACGGGCCATTTCTTCGTGGGAAGAGCACTTGCCCATGCCAGGATGCAGGGTTCGCACGCAGGCCGACGAAGCTTCGTCCGGGGAACTCACCAGAACAAGCAGGTTTCCACCCGCCATGCCCTGAGCGGGGAAAATTGCCCATAGGCAGCACCTGCAATGCCTTG